GCCGGCTGCCTGCTGCTGTTTGCCGTCATGTCCCCGCTGGGCATCAGCCTGGGCATCGGCCTCACCGAGACCAAGGCAGCCCTGCAGCACCAATTGGTCTGCTGCACACTGGAGGGGCTGGCAGTGGGAACCTTCATCTACATCACTTTCATGGAGATCCTGCCGCATGAGCTCAGCTCCCCCAGGAACCGAATGCCCAAGGTGGCCATGCTGTTGGTGGGCTTCGCCGTGGTCACTGGCGTGCTCTTCCTCAAACTGTAACCATGGTGACATAAAGATTTGGCGCAGACGTCTGCCATGACACCAGAAGTTCACACGTGACAACAAGCTTGTTTCAGAATAAGAGAAAAGAAACCCACTCCTTTCTAGGTCATAAACATTTTAGAAACTAATGAGTGCATCATAAACATCTGTCCTTTAAAACCCCGGTCATGTAGATTCTATCTGCTACTTCACACCAACGTAGTTTAAAGGAATGGTCCGCCGTCCCAGGTCAAAGCTGTGAGGGGATAAAGTAGTGTAATTAGTGATGGTATGGAGAAACCATATTAGATACTGTACATTGGCTGACAGTGGAGACATGGACTGTGCTGCACAGGCAGTTTAAGAAGTTTCCATGTGCCCAAAAGCCAAAGTTGTTCAAATTATGAACCTGCAGACCTGAGAAGCCTGAAGTATTTAACATGGTTTGTTTTATGTTCAAGAAACAACTTAAATGATTTTGTGTAACTGTTTTTCATCAGTTCTGACTGTTATTTTGTTTTTCACCAATATTCTGTTACATTTGCTGCCAAACTGAACAGGACAGCGACTCAGATATGTCATGTGTCAAATTTCTGCAGCTATTGTCAAACATCAGTCTTTCTGGAAACTGCTCATTGCTGCCTCCTCAAAATATGACAAATATGTTGGTTTATTATTCAGTCATCAGATACTGACAACTGAATCTAGATATTAAAATTAGTAACAGTGAAAATGTACCCTGACAGAAACGTACCCTAAGTAGAAACAGAAAACATTGTGTCCTGTTGAACGGGGAAAACTCCCGATTTGTCTCTTTTCACTTCAAGTTTGAAAACAATTCTTTTATTGTGATGAGAAACACTGTGCTGCACAAACACAATCGGCTGATTGTTGTTCAGTCACAGAGAATTTACTACACTGGCTCCCGTTTAGGAGCAGCTCTGATTTATTTTTGTCTTGTTTAAATAGATTTCACGAGCAGAAACTGAGCTGTTGACGTAGTGGCCGAAGCATGTTCTAGACAACATCCGTTAGAAATGTATTTTTGTAATTTTATCACCAAAGTCTTTTAAGGAGATGTGTATTTTAATCATTGTGTTTGAATGTATGAATTGTGTGTTATATGTCGTACTGTGATGATACATGAAAGGCATTAACAAACTAATTAAACAAAGAATAGTTTTTCAGACCACACGGTGACTGAGAGTGTGAATTTGTTGGCTTCAAATTAAAAGTTTTAACATGCTATTAAAAAGATTTCTGAAAAATAAAACTCATTATCCTTATTTCTCCATAATTTTAACTTAAATTTTTTTTATTGAATTTATGTAATTTATTATTTTGAGACTCAAAGTTTATTCATGAGTTTAGACACAGTAGTTTGACTAAACAAATTGCAACTTTAGGTTCACTTACCAGCTTTTTACACACATTCCTACCTCCGAGTGAAATGTGTGTGTGTACGTGGACCTTGAGTTAGCTTTGTTTTGTTTGTCCCATTTTATCTCTGTTTTGTTCACAAGTGAAACAGCAGAGGCCAAGACGTCCCAGTGTTTGGTGCCAAAGCCCAATCTACACTGGATCCTACATTTCCCATGATCCAGCTCGATAGCCTCACCTTATCAGACCTTTCATGCCTGCAACCCAACCATAAACAGGCATCAGCAGATTCAGCACAAGGAGACACAAAACAATTACAGAGACAAAGTGATCACAACAAGATGCAGTGTGACCACAAAGAGATTTTTAAAAATGGCTCCTTTTTCATAATTTCTTATAACTCTTAACTAAAATGTGGTGGGACATTACTGAAGCAGGTCACAAATCTCTGAGAGGCGATTTTCACAATGTTGGCAAAGTTACACAGAGATAAAGGGGAGAATAAATACTGCAACGTTTACATTTAGACAAGCTTGTTTAATATTTTGTCAGTTCAAAAATAATGTTCCTGAAACTTGTTTGAAAGTTTTTTGCAGTTGGACATAGATTTTTTTTAACTGATTTTACAGGTTCAATCAGCCCACACATTTTCTCCAGGAAATTATAATTTGTTTTTTTTTCCACTCATTAACACATCTGTGCAGGGAGCTGAAGTGTCTTTGAACTCCCACCAGCTCCAGCTCCAGACTTTGACCGCTGACCTTCCTATAGCTAAGGTGGAGCAGGTGAAGGGAGAAACCCCAACATCGGTCACTACTGCAGAATCACATTGTGATCACATCATAATAAACGCAGGAAGTCTGTGGTTTCGTCTGTGCAGCGCAGTAGCGGAGAGCTGTCGGCAGGTGTCGCACTGCGACTTTCTCCCACTACTCAAAGCTTGTCTATATGACAGGATGTCTTACCCTATTCGTTATGTCTTGTTCTTCTGTGACAGACTCTGTAGATGACAAGCAGTTCTACATCGAACTAGGCTACGAATATAAAACACGTCGACTGTGCTCTGATACATAGTTTAGTTGAGAAATTTGAACCAGGGACATTATTTCTAAAGCGATCATAAATTGAAATGATACATTCATAGTGATGCTCTATGGTTAGCAGGCTGACATTTCCTGATTTTTATTAGCCGGTACTAACAATAAGTGATGCAAGGTGTGCACCGACTGACATCACATCCAGGTGTGATATCTAGACTCATTAAAACTGAAAAGATTAGTCGAGCATCGCATTGGTGTGGTTATTTGTTCAAATACTTGTCCCAATTGTTGTTGTTTTTGTATCAGGCATTATTTTATTGCTTTATATATTTATGGACATATGAAAACACATGACAACATGAAATCACAATAGCCTCTTAGTTTAGGGTATTTGCTAACATTTTTAAAGTTTCTGACACAACTGAACAAAATGGCATGACACAAACGCGCGGCGGTTAGGCCGAGCCGAGACGA